AGAGGATTAAGATAATAGGAAGAGAAGACGAAGACGTATATGATGAAGAACAGAGAGAGGGGAAGAGAGGATTAAGGGAATGGGAAGAGAAGACGAAGAGGTAGACGAAGACGTATATGAAGAAGAACACAGAGGGAGGAAGAGAGGATTAAGGGAAAAGAGAGGAAGAGAAGACGAAGACGAAGACGTATATGTACAGGAGCAACAGGAGCACATTAACATTGCACACTCACGCACATTAAGTACAAATCTCAGGCACATTAAACACAAGACTCCAGCACATTAAGTACAAAACTCACGCACATTAACATTACACACTCACACACATTAAGTACAAAGTTCAGGCACATTAAGTGATTGTAGCAAAAATAAGATGTGAGCTCGGGTGTGAAATGTCGTCCTCAGGGGATTGGAGATTATGACACGCAATATGCAATCACAATAAACTAGGCACTAGCATAAGGAAATCAACAAGAAGCTAAGCAAACTACAAGTTTAAGGAAATGATAAGACTAACACATATACACAAAGATAAACACAAAATAAAGAAATAGGACTCAAGCTAGGGAGCATTATCATCTAGATGCTTTAACAACCTAAGGAATTAGGGAGAACAACTAACCAAGGAATCAAGCGAGAATGCACGTAGGTATCCTAGTCTACGAACCATTCTCGTGATTAATAAACAAGGATTAGAACAAGGAATTGCCCCACTCTCGTGGTGAATCAATTCCAAGTCCATCAAGCACACAAAACATCTAAAGTCCCCAATTTCCCCTATTTTCGTAGGAAGAAATCGGGTCTATGCAAGGGGTGGTTTGGATTCATCACCCAACTCTCGTTGAGGCAAGGAATCCTCCAAAAACAAACTGATGAATATGTACATCAAACATTAACAAGATATAAATACAAAACCTTCACAAACACATGAACCATAGGTTGGAGTTCTTCCCCTTTTTTTTTGGAATAATCACAAATCAAGCATCAAGATAGAAAATACAACCCTAACTCAAGTCCATAAACTAACTACTCATGATTAAATAGCATAAAGAACACAAAAACACAAGTGTAAAGCATAAACATTGCAAGATAAAGAGATAAAAGGGAGAAGAAGCTTCTCTATTGAAAATGGATGGTGGAATCTTGAAATGTTGGAATCCAAGCATCAAATACAAGATTATAAGCTTCAAAAGTGTTAAGAAACATAAATCTAAGCCTATTCTAACTTAAAATATGAAGGAAATGAGCAGAGAGTGTCTAGAGTTCTAACAAGAGTCAAAACCAAGTAGAAATGACAAAAAATCGGATTTTATAAAGTTGCAGCAGAGCTGAGCCATGTCCCTGGCCGTGTCCAAAAATCTGGAAACTGGGCAGTTTCTGGAAACTGCACAAAAATACACGGCCGTGTACTTGTCCGTGTCTTTTGGCATTTAAAACATCATAATTTGGAACTATGGTCTTCATAAACATTGTAGCCCTTCAAGCCTTCTTTCCAATGGCGCAAGAATCACTTAATTTGGACAATTCTAGACTGAGATATGGTCCAAAAACCAAACAGTGGTCAGTTTTGGATTGTAAGTTTAGAACTTCAACTTCAAGGACAATTTTGACCCCTGTGGCTTCCTTTTTAGGCTTCGATGTACTTATAGAAATTGTAGCCCTTTGAGTATTCTTTTCAATGGAACAAGAATCACTTAATTTGGATACTTCTAGACCGAGATGTGGCCCGAAAACAGAATAGTGCCCAATCCATGCGAAAATTTCAGCTTGTTGACACTTGTTCCACTTTTGCCTTGGTTTAATTTGTCCATATGAGCAACACCATTGAAAATATCACTCTTTGACTCCTTTGGGAGTGTTGCATCCATCTCCTTAGCTTCACCTTGGCTCCCCTTGACTCCAAATGCGTCCAACATGATCTAATACCCTTCATTCTACTCAAAGATAAAGAATTGTGCATAATGGATCAAATGAGCAAAATAAATATCATTTTGAACAACATAGTGACACTTCATAAGCAAAACAAGACTAAATATGGGGTATAAATATGAACAATTATGCACTTATCATTAAGCACAAGACTCACGCACATTAATCAACCGCATGGGAAGCACTCAACCGCACTGGAACCTTTCACTATATATATATATATATATATATATATATATATATATATATATATATATATATATATATAAAACGCTAAACTTGTACAGAACACATTCAAACAATACTATCACTATATTTAATTTACTCTAACTTTCATAGTTAATTTTCCAGTATTACATTTGAATAATATCATCATGATCTTTAATTCTTTATGACTTAGTTGATTGATGGTCGATCTGTCGTGATCTTAGTAAACCAATTAAGCACCATAAGACACAATTGTTAGTTTGCAAAATATAATAGACTCGTTTGCTAGTTTACTTAGTTCCAAGCAACATTTTAAATTAGTTAACCATTTTGGTATGAGCATTCAAGTTTAACCACCAACTAGACTTCATGATAGAATAGATGTTTTAACGCCATGCAACCATATATTTCAAGAATAATTGTTTCTCCTTATTTAGGTGAGTACATACTTTGGAACTTCATTTTTTTGTTCTTTGATTTGCTTAACCAAAGTACTATCTTTTGTTGTCAATGAAAATGATGTTTCAACTTAGTTTTCTTATAAAGGTTTTTTCTTTACAGGACAAATAAATTGTGTTCTGATATATTTTCTGAACTTTATGTTTCTTTTAAAAAATATTAGTTATACTAAACATTTTATTAAACTATTTGTATTAAATGATGTGACATGAATGTAATAATTGTCATAATCATATCATTCATATACATAGATCATCCGAAATTGATGAATTCGTAACAAGTTTAACCAAATAATTGGATAAAAATAAGGATCTCGGCCTCTCGGGTCTAACCCAAAAGCATTACTGCTAAGGTAATATATGGTCAAAGAGTCAAAGCAATTAAAGCAATCAATAGTAATGCTTATGAGTCGGGAGTTAACCCAAACACTTAGTACAAAGAGCCGTATTGTAGGAAGCGGGGACACGCTCTATATTGTATTATTGAACACACTGAAACAATACTTTTTTTTACTCTTAAATTAACATTCATAGTTCATTCGAATAATATCGCCAGATCAAGTGAAGGTCTGACATTTATATAGAGTGAGGGGCTATCAAACATAATTGTATATTAACACTTGGTCGTTGGACACGACATGCGGTGTAACACGTGTGCCCATAACACATGTTAGCCTACTTAACATCACGTTATTAGCAATAACATGTTGAATATGTAATAGTAAGACTTAACTGCATTGTTTTGTCAGTTTAAGCATTCTTGGTGGAACTTTTTCAATTATGAGACTTAATTACACTATTCGTTAAACTCGAGATCGGGGTAATTTAACACCTTTTCCAAAATAAAATGATAGTTACCCAAATGTGGTACTAACCCTTTTTATTTATATTTATAATAATCTAATAAAATGGGTGTCTTTTAATCATTGTGAAATTTATCAAAAATTATATATTATGTGAGAAGTAAACTAAATTGCACTTTATGAGTTGAGTACAAGATGTTGGAGAAAATACTATAAAAATTCCTTATTGTTGTGATTTGGATCACTCTCACACGCAAATGTACGTGATCAATATATATAATATAATAAAGTGATAAGTAAAATTGTCTTATTATGCAAGGAGTATTGAAATAAGTTAACAACCAAACTACAATATTTAATACTTTATTTAACTAATTGCAATAAGAGAGTGTGCACTCTTTAAGGAAAAAAAAAATAAAGCAACAAACAAAAAGCGTAAAAGAAACAATCAAGAATAATTAATTGAACAAATATCAATAGACGACGGATCCGTTTGATAGAATAATACTCAGAGGCTCCTTGTGCGCAATAAGCAAAGATCTAACTTTTATAATTCATGTTTAAGTTATCATGATTTACATCCTCCCAAATGTTCGGATCGGGGGTTTAGAAGACCCTTGTGATTGGAATTCAACCTTTTGAAAGAATAATAGTTTACTTATTTTAAAATAAGCTCTTGATTTTTTCAAATTTTTTTCCCTTTTTTTTTGTTTATCTTTATTAATTTAAAAAAATGACATTGGCTCTGTTTGGTAAAAAATTGGCCTATAGGCCAATTTTGACTTATTTAACCACTATTAATTGTTTGATTTAGTTAAAATATCAATATAAATGTTTGGTTAATTAGTTTTTTGCAACTTCAAAAGGCTAAAATTCAAAAAGCTACTCTAAGCAAATTTTTCAATTAGCTTTTTGAGAAAAGAAATTATACCAAACAACTATCAACTAACAGCTAATTTACTAAACATTTTTCTACAATTAGCTAATGTTATCAACTATTTATACTCTCTAATTAACACAATCAGCTAATAGCTAACATCCATTTTACCAAACAGGGCCATTATCTATTCTTCATTAATCAAAATCATAATATCTTAGTTTATCATTTTATATTTTTATACACTTATCAACTAATTCAACAATTAATTTTACCAAATATTTTAATTTCAATTAGTTAATTATCTACTAATTTTTCAGCTTTTAGCTTGTTTTTCAGTTAGGCGTGCCAAACAGAACCTATATTTTCAACAAGTTCATATTATTTATAATTTAATTTTGCATATCAGTTGGGCAAATAAATATGTCAATTAGTGGACTCTGTATCGATCTTTAATAAGTTGCTTTTAGGAATCAAATAGGTGCATTATTTACTAGCTAAATGAAGCTATATATACTTCTATGCCCATTATAATCTATTTAACATTAAGGCCAAGCATCCATGTGTTCCGTTATATAAAAGTGTCTTTAATTACTTCCATAATTATATATCGAACTAGGTATGTTGCTATTTTATATAACCATAAGATCAAAAGTGTTTCAAAAAGATGTAAGTTTTGATGGAATAATAGGATTATAGAAAAGCTTGTTTTATTAACAAGATTAACCTTTAATTTGAGCTCAAGGGTGTCAAGTATGGTAAAACACCTCTAACACTTACAAGCTAGCTAATGAGGAGAAGTTAGATAATTAAACCCACAAAGAAACAAATGAATAAATAAGAAATGATGAAAAAACATATTATATCGCACCATGATATGATGTGATCTGAATTAAAACTAGTTTAAGTGGTCAAGGCATCTGGCAAAGTTGTTCTACTTCCTAGCACTTTCCCACCAACGTCTGGGAAATATTCACATCCCCCCAACGGACTAACCTTCCCATTTGAATCCACTTGCAATGGGTACTTAAGAAGGTGACCCTGCAATGGACTGAACTTCTCCGCCGTGTATCTCTTCCAATTCTCTTCCGCGATTTCATTTACCATTTTTACGCACTCGAGTCCTTCTGCTTCGTCCAGTTTCTCGTCCATCATCCCCAAGTGTTCTGCCCACAGCGACATTCTGTACCCGTACACCTGGGCGTGGGGATGGTTTTGATTCTTGGCCCAGGTGTGGTGGGGCTGATATGCGCCCATTGCGATCTCTGTGTCCCGGGAACCGGCCATGGATCGTTGGTTGATGTTAGCAGATCCCACGATGACATACTCGTCGTCCACCACCATTCCCTTGGCGTGCACGTAGATCATGAACCTCCCCGACTTCTGGGAACCCGTCAACTGCATCCAATCACATGCCATTAGAGCATATATATTATAGTGAAGAATCGAAATAATTTGTTTATGAAGGGCACACGAGCATTACAAATTCGCTGCAGCCAGGAGTGGGAGAGGACGCACTCTCTTCGTGCCATTCTTCTCGATTGCCAAGACAATAGAAGTTGAGATAGTCACAGGGATGTGCATCCTCTATCTTCTCTGATTTCAACTCTTTGGCAATGATTTCATACATCATTTGTATTGTTTGTCCCTGCACCAACAGAGTTAGTTAGTTATACACACTCATGGTTGCAGTAGGCGCTAGACGCTAGTTGAGCACCTAGCGCCTAGGCGGGCTTAGGCGGAATCTAAGCAGTGCTTGACTTGGAGTTTGACAATTTTAATGAGGCTGTTTTCAACATTCAATCAAATAACACATCCAAATAAATGAAATAATGATAATTAATAAGTCATAACATATTCAAAGTATCAAACTAGTATATTGATGGCTCGACCAGACGACATCGGTCAAAATCGGACAAAATCGACCGACTCGGCCGAGTTGGCCGCCTAGGCCGATTTTGTTGCTTAGCTAGCCGCCTAGGCGCCCGGCCAATTTTTGGGCCCCTAATAGTGAAAGCGGAACAGCCTAGGGGCATCTAGGCGCCGCCGGCCCCGATTTTTACAACAATGTACACACTACATTATGAAATAGTTGTTAACTAATTAGGTTAGTGGGTTTGATTAGCTGATTGTAGAAAGATGTTTGGTAAATTAGTTGTTAGCTGATTACATACAAAATAACTCTCTCTAAAAATTAATAAAAAAAAGTTATTTTGAGCAGCTTTTTGAATTCTAGTGTTTTGGAATTTGGAGCAATGAACTGTTATAAAAAAGCAAATTAATCAAACACTCATATATTGGTTGTTTAACCAAGTCAAACAACTAATAGTGGTCGAACAAGTCAAAATTGACAATTTAGTTATCCAATATAGTGATTTTTTCGGATTTAGTCCTAGACGTCTCTACTTAATTGGTTCAGGTGCTACCAAATTGAGTCCTCAGTTGATCGAATCAAAAACTAAATCGAGAAAAACAACTACAGTTCAGGAATTACCTGCCAATACAGAATGTCTTGAACTGGTGCAGAACTGGGGACACCTTCAGGCCACATTGGGATCACAATGTACACTGCAAATCTCTCCCTATTCCGGATTTTACTTACAATCTTAAGCGCAAGCTCCATCGGGATCAAGTTATCCGCACCTAAGACATAGCAGCCATTGTATAATAAGCTTAGATTAATGCACTAAATAATGGACATTATAACAGAGTAGATAGATGCTGAAACCTGCTTCTTTGTAAGAAGGCCAAGCATAAGATGACCCCAGGAAATACTGGTTTTCAATGTAAATAAAATGCTGGGCTCGTCTTATTGCCTCAATGTATGCCATTTGGATGCTCCTATCAATCACTAAATCTTTCGCGCAAACTAGATTCTGCAACGATTAATAATTATAAGTGACTCTGATACCAAACTGAATGATGTGTTTAATCCAGTACCTGTGTTTCAGCTGTGTGAACATCTTTGGGGAATCCTTTCAATGACCCTGAATCTATGGACCTGAAAACCTGGACATGCCAGTTTTGTGGATCACCTTCATTGGAAACCCACAATGAAGGATCATCATTTGGAACAGAAGGAGTAGGGCTAGTTATCCATGAAATCCGCTCTATTTTCAACAATGCGTCGTCATGCCAATGAGAGATCTTCTTGAAACGCCGCCCTAACTCCGCCCACTTGGATGCTTTTCTCCACCGCTGTTCAAAGTTTGTGAGGATATCATATGCAGCAGGACCTTCAATCTTGCAGTGCAAATCATGCCACGGCTGCCTTGGTCCCTTTAGTCCCCCTTCCTATTACACAATTGAAACATTACACAGGGCAGGTGTTTGGCAAATAGCTGATAGCTGATTAGGTTAGATTATCAGACTTACTGGAAAAGTAGGATTGTTGTAATCACCCCGAAAAACAGTGTCACGATCAGAGAATAACCTATGCTGGGGGGTATCGTATCGCCCATCGCATAGGTCTAGACCGCCAATGAAAGCTGTTATCTTCCGGTTGTTTCCCTGGGCTTGTGTATCAACAATTACACACTTCTGATGGTGTGTATAAAGTGTTCCTACCACCTGATAGATAGATCACAACAAACAATATAATGACCTAAAAATTAAAGATGCAGGCTACTTATTCCAATAGGTTTAGGACTTAAACATGCAACAATGGCTACCTGTTGCTTGACAAAGCTGAGCTTACTGCTTGCATATCGAGGGGCGAGCACGCAAGTGACTGATGAGTGCTTGAAAAATTTCCGAGTTTCTTCGTCGTGTGTTCCCATCACTCCACTCTGCATGCAAACAACGGTTTAACTCAATGATTCAATATACAGTATTTGAGAGAAGAGATTGAAGTTCAAACTTCAGGGTGACAGTGTAAGGATTATGCTTAAAGTGGGCAGATTTCACAGGATTTGGCCCTATCGAGTCAGGGTAAAGAATAAGATTATGACCCTGTTTGGTAAATGACTGTTAGCTGATAGCTGCTAGCGGGTGACTGTTAGCTAATTGTGTTAATTAGAGGGTATAACTAATTGATAATATTAGCTGTTGTAGAAAAGTGTTTGATAAATTAGCTGTTAGCTGATAGCTGTTTAGTATAATTTTTTTTCTGAAAAAAACTAATTGAAAAAGTTGCTTAGAGTAACTTTTTGAATTTAAACATTTTGGAATTACAAAAAACTAATTAACCAAACACATATATTTACTATCAAATTTACAAATACTGCCACAATGTATTGTAACAATGATTCGAACTCTATCAAAATTAATACAATAATGTTTCTATAGTCATGAGTTACCAAAAACTTCATTCATTCCATTACTTTGTTTGTTATTACCTCGTCTATAATCTATGTTAGGATTATAGCTACTTCAATTTACACCAACACAAAATATTTTTATTTTTTTAAACTAATTTGAGTTATTAGGTATTTGGCCAGCTCATGCATGTTCCCGCCGCCTTATGTCGCGGTGTAGACGCTAGAGCCAGGTATAGAGGAACAAAAAAAAAAAAAAAAAACGCACATGGCAACACACGACTTCATTAGTAAGTATTTGGGCCGCAAATTAAAAGGTTGTTAATGTTTGATATTTAGTAATGGTAATGTGAAGATTATGTTAAAAATGCTTGTACAAGTAGGGTCTATTTTAAGTTTATGTGGCTATATTTTGATAAATAAATGTGGCTCTACTAAAATCGTAATTTTTAAGTTTAATTGAAAAATTTTAATTTTTATTTTTAAACTAGCTAGATAAAAATTAAATATTGGACCTCTAAAATTTGGCGCCCCTCTAAAATTGGGGGCCCTGTGCGGTAGCCCAGCTTGCACAACCTAAAATCCGGCCCTATGTACAAGTTCGATAGACAGTATTTGAGATAAGGGATTAGGGTTCAAATTTCGGCGGTAACAGCGTAAGCAGCAACAGTGTAGGAATTATGTTTAAATTATGTTTAAAGTGGGCAGATTCCTAAGATTATGTCCAAAGTGTGCAAATTCCTTATGCGCACCGGATTTGGCACCGGATTTGGCCCCGTTGAGTTCGGGTGTGGAAGTCCTTGGGGTTGGGGATTCAACCAAAGAAGATTATGTTTAAAATGAGCCGAATTTTATGTTTAAAATGGGCAAATTTGCAACACCGACATTTGACTGTGTTTGTTACTAAGGAGCAAATACCAATTTTAGTCCTAGGAGTATTAGTCAAATGACGATTTTGGTCCACATGTTTAATTCCTATCACTAAGGAGCAAATACCAATTTTAGTCCTAGGAGTATTAGTCAAATGACGATTTTGGTCCACATGTTTAATTCCTATCAATTATTGTTTTAGTACCAAGACCATTTTCATCTACGACTATTGTTTTAGTACCAAAATTCATCACTGTCAGTCACCCTCCCCATCCTCCCCATTTTAAGACATGCCAAAATCTAAAAATTTTAAGGGCATTTTTGTCTTTTTTTACTTAAGATTCCAATTTGATCATGAATAAAGAGGCTCATATTGGAATCTTAATTTGAAACTTTCATATTTTGACATGTCTTAAAGGAAAGGGTGACCGGCGAGACGTATTTTGACATTAAAGCAATTAGTCGTGGATGAAAATTAGTACTAAAACAATAGTCATGGATGAAAATTAGTACTAAAATAATAATCAGTGAATAAAAATTAGTAAAAATTAATCATATTTTACTAATACGTTGGGATCAAAATTGGTATTTGCTCAGTCACTAAGCTACTAAGTTATCCTAATTTACAATTTGAGAGTTGCGGGAGTCTTTGGGATAGGGATTCAACTTTTGGTGCAAGAATAGTACGGTGGTTTTAAGAATAAAATTAGAGAAGAGGAAAGTGATTACCGTGTTAATGAAGAATTTACTGTGAGAAGTCTTGTCATCCCAAACCAAGAGCAACACCCTGACACCTTCCTGGGACTTATACTTTAGCAACTCTCCGAGGTTCAGATTGCCGCCGTTGGGCAACGGTCTGGTCGGCTCCCTCACCAGCTTCACTTTGTGATAAATGGACCACCCAACTATATAAACCATGTGATGAGCCTCTAAAATGGCGTGGCAGATGTCTTCCCAGCAGTTTTCGTGGTGAAACGCCTTCCCGTCGTCAATTTTTATCTCCGGTAAACTTCCCTCCGGGACGTGCGCGTCCTGGTACAGCGTCACCGCCCCGCCGTGCCTCATCGGAAAATAGCTCTCCTTGAGCCCGTAGTCCTCCGTAACGCCGCCGCGGTACCGCGGGTTTTCGGCGCAAGGGGTGAACTTCATCATCAGGCGGATGGCGCAGTCGGGCTTGGGGGGCTTGCCGTGGGCGCCGATGATGGGGAACCAGTCGTTGATGGTCTCGCCGGAGATGATCTTCTGGGCGGAGACTTTGGCGACGCCGATGAAGTCGGCGCCGAAGACGTCGTTGTCCTTCACCTGGAACTCCACCTCGGAGACGGGGTGGGCCACGGGGATCTTGAAGTGCTCGACCCAGACGGGGTCCTGGGAATTGGAGATCACGCGGGTGCGAGCCACCGTGGCGCCGGCGAGGCACACTTTGACGTAAGGGTCGCTGGTGATAATCCGGGTGTGGCGGCGGACCTTGTTCCCCTGCCGGGTCTCGGGCTTCCGGCAATCGAACGCCGTGAAGAATTGCCGGATGCGCTCCGAGACGATGTCCATATTGGGCAGCCGCCGGGCTTCAAGAATCTTCAAGTCGAGATCCCCATGGAGATATACCACATTCTCTGACATCCCATCGGACATTTTCACATCCGAAATAATGCAGAATGGGCAGTTATTGTTTGAGGCGGTGGTGCCCGGCTGTTGGCTGGGGAGGAGGAGATGGGAAAATGATTCCTCCGCCGTAGCCAACGGCTGCAGAAGGTGGCGCGGAGATGGGAATAATGGATTAACCAACCAAAAAATAGCTTATGAGTTGGGGAAGTTTGGCCGGGTGGTTACGGCTAATACGCAATACATGGGGACACAGATTGCTCAACCACTGGCACTGGATTAGGACCGTTGGATTATTTTTGGATTATGCTTAAATAAGATGAGGAATAATTAAATTGGTTCATTCATTTATCTCATTATTAATAAATTTGACCAGACTTACACAAACCCATTAATCCATGTTAGTGCTTCTCACGAATTTGTGTCAGTGTGATTGGTCAAATTGTAGACAACTGAACGTGTAAGTATCATAATTTTAATGAGTTAATTCCAGCAATGGTATTCCAACTATTGTGATTTTCCAAATTTGGTCTTCGTCTTTTAATTTGGACGAAAAAGACACTTGACTTTCAAATTTGTTCCAACATTAATCCTTCTATTAACTTGCAGTTAGTTAGGCTCAAGGTGGTGGGTTGCCGGTGGAAGAGGGAGAGAGAGACGGTGGTTCATGGTCTAATACATAGGTATACTCAACCAGTTTTTTCCAACTAATAATCACGACTAAATGTGAGTTAAAGATGTGGTTGTTTTCCAACTAATAATCACGACTAAATGTGAGTTAAAGATGTGGTTCCATATGTGAGTTTGAGCATCAAGAATTTCACTATCTTTGTTTTACCATACTTCTTTGTTGTAATAAGTTCTTTTGGAAGAATGATCATGGGATTTAGCTAAACTAACAACAGAGAAGTGATGTTTTGGGTTTATGGCTTCCAATTCACTTTGAAAAGAATGAATGTGGATAAAATATATGTGGCTTAGCTAATGGCATAAGTTATGTTTTGGGTTCATGGTTTCCAGTTTACTTTGGAAGCTAAGGAATGATCATAGATTTAGCTTAATTAAGAATAGAAGTGATGTCTGCATAGTTAAAAGCAGGTATGTGATTTCTCTTTACAGATTCATGTATGTAATCTATACAATTTAAGTCAGTCAATTGAAGCACATTGTACTGTAGTAAACAAATTAAGGTTCATGCAATGAGGATTGTGATCTTTCTCTGCAATATGTGGAAGCTGCACTGGAGAATTGAAGAAGATAACAAGGAAAATACCTTTTTACCTCTTAACTTAACGTCTATATAACTCTTAATTAACGAAAGGATCAATGGTGGAACACTTTTGATACTCAAGGGTTTATTTTGTCCAAATTAAAAGACGAGGACCAAATTTGAAAAATCACACTAATCGGAAGACTATTGCTGAAATTAACTCTAATTTCAATTATAAGTATTACAATATTTATAACAATCAATTTTAATATAAACAGTATCATAATTTTACATATAAGTATTACAATATTTATCACCACTATTGCAACCACCACTACTAACACCAACACTTTGACTGGTAATTTTTTGAATGCTACTAGCTCTATTACAATGTAGTATCTATTCATATACTTTCTCAACCTACTGAAACACAAAGAGCTAATAAGGCCTCCACTTTGACTGGTAATCTTTGTTTGTAATTATGGATTTTAAAACTTCGATTATTTTGGCTTGTTATTTTGAATCACAAGACTTTGGTTAGTTATTTTTTATTATATTCTTCCAAAAGGTTGAACCCCAACCTCGGCAGAGCATTTGGGAGGATGTAAATCATGCTCACTGCGCACAAGGAGCCCCCCTCACTTTGAGAGGTTGCTCCCACACTGTCGCTGGTGAGACTCGATGACCAATTTAGCTACCCATGCGGGCAAATTATTATTATATTATTATTATAGATGCATGTTGTTATATTCTAAACAAAACAATTAAAATGTTTAATTATACAATTCTATTCATTTTTCAAAAAATGAATCAAACACACTAATACATATTTCTGTAATGCAACCAAACACTAAGGCACTGTTTGGCAGAGCTTATTTAGGAGCTCATAGCTTATTTTAAGCTACTAATAAACTATAAGCCCTGTTTGGTAATGTTCCCAAAATAAGCTTTTAGCTTAACATAAGAGCTTATTTTGGAACGCTACTTTAAGTAGCGTTTCAAATTAAGCTCCTAGCTTCCTAACTTTTTTTCCATCTTTATCCTTATTATTTTAAAGAAATGACATAATTTACTCTTCCCAATTAAAAATCTTTTTTCTTCTCCTTTATCTGCAACTTTCACCTCAAATATTATTATTATTATTATTATTATTATTATTATTATTATTATTATTATTATTATTATTATTAGATTTGCAACAATATTGCTACTTCATTATGAGATACTAGATCATGATTATGCTAATAGTTTTATTTCAAAATGTTAATTTTTTAAAAAACAAAATGTTAAATTTTAATAGGTAAACAAACTAATTTGAATTTTATGAAGATGTCATTTTTAGTCTTTTTACATTTATCAGCTTATCAAAAAGTTAATTTTACCAAACACTTTCAATCATAACAGCTAGCTTAACAGCTCTTCAGTTTTCAGCTCCGAGCTTATAGCTTTTCAGCTTTCAGCTCCTTTTCGGCTTTCAGCTCCTAGCTTATAGCTTTTCAGCTAGGTTTGCCAGAGCCTGAAAATGAAAATGTTTTCTAGGAAATGAATCATTTTCTTGGTTTCCAAAGCTTACCCTAAATGATGCCACATAGGAGGTGAATTTAGGTGTGAAGTTTTTAAGAGAAGTATATAGCATTAGTGTCTCTCTCTCTCCCCTTCTCTGCCCGTGGCCTAGGGGTGTAAACGAGTTGAGCCGAGCCCGAACTTGGGTATGCTCATGCTCGTGCTCGTTAATGATAGCACTACTCGAGCTCGAGCTCGTGAACTGATGCTCGAACTCGAGCTCGGCAATTGTCGAGCTGCTCGAGCTCGAGCTCGAATTCGAGCCTGAAGTCGAGCTCGAGTTTAGGCTCAAATTTGAGCTCAATTTTGATCTCGAATTTGACCTGTTTGATTTAAAATTTAAACTACTTTGTTTTATGACTTTTATCCATACATAATTATTAAAGTATTTTAATTTCCCTCCCCTAATTATTATTTTTATATACTAAATATAATATAATTATATTATATATTATATATTATATAATATATTATAAAGCTCGCGAGCGACTCGTCGAGCCGCGAGTCTACAATACCTAAGCTCGGCTCATGCTCGTTTAATCCACGAGCTGCTCGATCTCGAACTGAGTTCGAGCCGAGCGTTGACCGAACCGCTCACGAGCGGCTCGGCTCATTTACACCCCTATCGTGGCCCAATCGGGCTCACTCAGGCAGCCCACCAACCCGCACGGGCTAAGCCCTTATTTTCGCAAGTAAAAAATTTTATGTCTTAACTTGACCCGTTGCAGGTAGAGTTAAGGCTAGCTTGCGAGTTTCAACTTATTTTCACACCTCTAGGAATGATATCTTGAAAGTGAAAAGACAAAAAAGTATCTTATCTCAAATCTTGATATATTTGAGAAGACTAAACAAAGGGGACAAAAAGGAAAAATATTTCAGTTTTTCTAAAAGGAGAAGAGAGCTTCAAGCCTTCAAATTTCCCATTCAAAAACGGTGTATAACTACTATGCAATACACAGAAGTTTACCTACCACAAAGGGATCCATCTAGAAGGATATTGAAGATTGAAGATTTGATCTGCTTCAAGAAGCCTTGCCATGAAGAATTTGTCAAACTGGCCGGAAGAATTGATTTCGAAATTTCTTATGTAAAATTTCAATTTTTATATCACTGGACTATAATATTCTTTATATTTTCTTAATGAATTTTATATTTGTCAATGATATTAGGTCCCTGTAGTATAGTGTTTTGTTCAATTTAATCATTCTACCTTCATAAGGGTAAAATGGTACACTCATGTTATTTTTCTTCACAATCTTTGTAGAAAACAAATTCTCACCCCTTCGCAAAGAATTCATTTTCCTCAACTTTGAGAAATTCATTTTCCAATGGAAAATGTTTTACATTCAACCAAACAACATAAAACAACATTTTCCTTTACTTGAAAACATTTTTCTTTCCATCCAACCAAACACCCCCTTAAAAACGATAGTTGATTTGGCATTGACATCATATATGTCACATCATCATACTTACATGTCAACTCATATAATTTTTTAAAAATTATTTAAAATTAATTATTTTTATGACAAATATATTACATTAGTATGTCTAAAATAAATACATAAATATCAGTTATTGTCTTTAATTGTTTCACTTTTTTAAGTACAGAGATTAAATTAAATAAAATTAAGGTAGAATGACTAAATTGAACAAAACACTATAGTACATGGACCTCACAAGTACTTTGACCCTTTATATTATAAATGTTTGAAAATTTAACAAACATAGAAGCATAAAGAATAGTAACAAAATCTATACTACTAATAAAAACAAAATCTTACTTTTGCAACCTACCACGCAAACTATTACTATATAAAATCTAATAATTATTATGTTAAATAATAGCTCAATAAATGTGACAACTTATATATATATATATATATATATATATATATATATATATATATATATATATATATATATATATATATATATATATATATATATATATATATAGTGAAAGGTTCCAGTGCGGTTGGGTGCTTCCCGTGCGGTTGTGCGGTTGATTAGGGTGTGTGTGAGCTTTGTACTTAATGTGCGTGAGTCTTGTGCTTAATGTGCTTGAGCTTTATACTTAATGTGCGTGAGTGTGTAATGTTAATGTCCGTGAGTTTTGTACTTAATGTGCCTGAGTCTTGTGTTTAATGTGCCTGAGATTTGTACTTAATGTGCGTGAGTGTGTAATGTTAATGTGCTCCTGTTGCTCCTTTACATATACGTCTTCTCTTCCTCTCTTTTCCCTTAATCCTCTCTTCCTCTCTCTCTGTTCGTCTTCATATACGTCTTCGTCTTCTCTTCCTATTCCCTTTATCCTCTCTTCCCCTCTCTCTGTTCTTCATCATATACGTCTTCGTCTACGTCTTCGTCTTCTCTTCCTATTCCCTTAATCCTCTCCTCTCTCTGTTCTTCAGCATATACGTCTTCGTCTTCGTCTGACTTTTGTGTTTAATGTGTGTGAGGTTGTGGTTTGAATGTATTTTGTTTATAGCTTCCTATGTGATTGTGTTAAAAGTCACGCACATTAAGCACAAACCTCTCACACATTAAGCACAATACTCAGGCACATTATGTATAAAACTCAAGCACATTAACATTACACACCCATGCACATTAAGTATAAATCTCAGGCACATTAAGCACAAGACTCACGCACATTAAGTATAAAACTCACGCACATTAGTATATTTACCTAATAATTATTATGGTAATTAAGGAATTAATTGCATAGATATTAGTATAATTGACTAATAATTATTATCGTATTAAGCTAATAATTAGAGGTACTTGGACCGTGAAAGATTCCAATCTCTTGATTGGAAAACTTGATCACTAGATCTCACTAAAAATTCAATATCTTGATTGGTAAAATTCGATCCTTAGATCATAAGTAAACCCAATCCCTTGATTGATAAAATTGGATCTCTAGATCGCAATTAATTCGATCTCCCGATCGTAACTAATAATCTGATCATTAGATCGGTAAAATTTGATCTCTCAATCATATTAAAATTCGATCCCCAGATCAGTAAAATTCAGACAACCTCTTATAGTCCAGAATACTGTACTTATAGTTGTGCTCTTTTTCCCTTAGCTTTTTCTTTTAGTCTAATGTTTTTAACGAGGCAACCAGCATAAGTCACGCATCTATGCTCAACTAAGACTTGAGCGCTCGTCATGAATTATGTGATCAGGTTTTTAGGCTCGAACCCTTCCTCATTGGCTCGACGTTAGTGCACAAATTAAGAGGACTACTTGATAGGGATTATTCCCCGAGTATACCTCCTTATACGTTCGAGACATCTATTGATTATTCAGGTCAGGATCATATATCTGAGTCTCAATAGTTATGCTGTGGAACCGTGTTCATCATGCGCTTGGTGAACACGGGATAGATCCATAATTTTTAAGCTGTAAATTCATAATTTCTATACTGTAGATTCATAATATCTATACTGTAGATTCATAATTTCTGTATTGTAGATTCATAATATTTGTACTGTAAAGACGAAATAATGCAATTTCAAAGAGAGAAACGTCATTAACAATAAATGAAAAACAAAATTATGAATCTACAGTATAGAAATTATAAATCTACCCATGTCTTCACCATGCGCATTCTGAACGCATTTTTCCAATATAATTGGGTCAGGCCTCCGCCATATAAGTGGGAGGCAACACACACCACAAGGGGGACTGGTCCACTTCTTCTCTACTCTCTACAACTCTCATTCCTTTCACTTCGTCTAATCGTCTAGAGGACACTCAATAAAAAAAGGTTAAGGAAGAGCGAATTTTCCCTCTTCTCATACATTTTTTTCCTACGCATTCTATACACAACATTTATATCGAATGAATTTTTTTTTTTTTTTGACTCGTTATATCGAATGAATTAATTCTATCAATATTGCATATCGATTTTTTAAAAGTTAATTACAGACAAATAAGTTATATATTATTCAATTAATTAAGTGATACTTTTGCACTAATTTTATAATCAAATAAATCTATACTTTCAAATATTAAAATTGTTTATAATTTCATCTTTAATTTTATTATCTAAATATATAATAAAAAAAATTTATCCGTGCATCACACGTGCACCGCACGTGTATCGCACGAGTAATTAGACAATTATTTTTTCAAATTCAAGCACAGATAACATCAAAAAACATAATCGATCCAACTCATTTCATCAATTGCACTATATAATATTCGTTGTTATAATTTATATAATTGTATATCGATCTAAATATTTTAAAAATTTATAACAAATCCATCCGCGCATTGCACGGGGAAAATACTAGTAACTAAAAAAAATGATTTACTTATATATAAATAGATAATATAGAGTCTTTACTTTTTATGTACATATACTATCATTGAGAAGTACCTGTTGCTAATTCCTGCAATTTAAGATCCATATAGGCTTATAAAATAGCACTTAGGAATCCCCAATTCAATGCCTCAAATCAAATTTCTCTACGAATAGCTTTACAAGCCTTATTCCATCTTCTTAAACTTGTGGTAAGGCTTCAGAGTTTTGGGTGTTTAAACTGCAAGTGTTTGTGGGTTGAGGAGCCCTTATCGTCATGCTCTGAACAAAGGCTAGCATCTGCAGGGGAAAGATGAAACACAGCAAATCAAGTTGAGTTCACATATATGGTGGTGAATTTGTAAGAATTTTTGATATGGTATAATATTATTTAAGTGATTTTGGTGAAAGTATATAACTGAGTCAATAAGTGGTTTAGTCAGATAAGGTGACATAGATATTCAATTTGGTTTTAACTGATTACGACACGTATGCTTCTAAGTAAATTGGTCCTTCCACAACTCCTATATTCAGGATACATTATAGTATTTAGTATTCGAGAGTGGTAGACAAAACTATTCCAAAGGCTACACCAATGAGATATATATCAACTATGGCTAGAGACATACCAATCATTATAGAGTATTGGGTAGAGGCGGTGAAGGGTTAAGTCGAGCAATTAGTGCATTAGGAGATTGTTGGGTAGAGGCCGGTGAAAAGCTAAGTCTAGCACCCTGTGTCTCGAAAATGTGGTGACGGTATAAGGAAATAAAGTTACACATTCGCTACTCGTTATAATTTTTGACATAATGATAAGAGCTTGATCTTAACAAGTGGTACGGGTTTGACTTTTGAGTTGGTCCTGGGAGGGAAAATTGCTTGATAGAGGTGGATGAAGGGCCAAAACTAACAATTGGTGGCCAGGTGATTGTTAGATAGAAGCAAGTGAAGGGCCAAATCGAGCAACACATAATACAAATATGACTATCATGCATGCATGAAGCAACACAATAAAGTATGCAAATTCACTCACCGCAGCCAATCCAGCAACCATAATACTGAAACCAGGGTAATGGAAAGGTGCATCATCGGAGAGAAAGGTGGCTGAAAGAAAATTAGGTTTTTAGTTGATAAAATTTGATTTTTTTTGGGGGGAAAGATGAATTGAAGTTCAAAATTATAGGTTTAGCTTACCGGTTAAGGGACTAAAAGCCAATGGGGAAACTATGTTGGCAAAGGAACACAAGCCTGAAATGCATCCTTGTACCTTTCCCTATAAACAGGAAAGCAAAGTAAGGTATGTCACGCTCTATTAAGGAAATATTATTTGTACTTTAGACAATATATAACTTAATTACACACACAAAAAAAATGTAAATGTGTAATAGGTAGTCAAAATTCATAATGGAAACTACCTGCTCGTTAGGTCCAATTTGCTTTGATGCAATGCTCCGTAACTGCAAATGGAGTAACTCTTATTCAAATTTCAACAAGTTAAACACTAGTATCATTTAACCACAAAGTCTTGGATTTAATGAAAAGCGTGTTTTTAGAATTCGAAAACTTACACAAGGCATTGCAAAAATAGCTAGAACAGAGATTAATGCAGCAACATAAGGAACCTGCATGATTTAAATTTTTTTAGTACTACTACAATATAGTATCTGTTCATAATTATTTTCTCAACCTACTGAAGCATAAAGAGTCAACCCTCACTATAATTTAAAAATAAAAAATAAAATTAATTAAAAGGGAGAAATAACATACCCAGAAGGCCCATGCAACGCTGTAAAGAAACATCTGCATTTCAAGGGGAAAAATAAGTTAATTATTTCTACAGAACAATGGGTTACGACTAGGAAAACAATTAGAATAGTGGACCGTTTCAATCACTTTATCAAAATTTGTTTGAATAAGTTTAAAATGATTGAAGTAGTCTATAACTTTAATTAATAGCATAAGGGGGTAAGAATAGGATGGAAGTAGTGTGATTAATTAGGTAATTAAGTGCATACATGAACAGAGCTGAAGAAGAGCCCAATTGAGAGCAGCCTTTCTTCTCCGACCGCAGGGACCAACAAAGGCATAAGAACCAGCTGCAACATTTCCAAATGAACACCAAAACGTGAGACAAACCAACAACAACAACAATAATAACAGTACAACATAGTGACAAATGATCCTGCCAGACAGGACAACTCTCAGCCAAGTTAGTCGAACTGTTGACTCGAGACCTGTTAGCCTTCTCGATTTGAACTGGCCGGATTTATCCAGTGCACACTCTTAAGTAGTGATTACGGGTTTTCCTCGTCACGGAAAAAAATGATCAGGGAAGACAGATATGTACCTGGGATATGGCCCCGGCAACACCACCAATTATCATCAAATCAGCAAACTGATTTTTGTCGAAGTGAAATTGCGCCTTCAAGAAGTACTGCACAAGGTTTAACGAAAATTAATTCGTAATTCAAACCTATTATGTGACTGCAGTAACAGATTATGTACCTATAAATAAAATGAAGGGCACTTAACATGTTATAGACACATAATATGTTAACTGTCACGTAATCTGAATGTGGTTTTGGACTAGAGCGTATAACAATTGGTTTAATTCATGGGATGAAGTGAAACTTACAAATAGAGAGGCATGCAGACCAATTTCTGCAACATTTGTGAGGACTGAAACTATAGCTGCTTGTAAGATTGTTGGGCTGTAAATTAAGGGAGAAAAACAGTTAGTTGGTGTTAAGATTGTGTAATTTAACGTAAGTTGTTATTATTTAATATGGGATTAATATAGAAAAAATAAATTACCTCGTCCTTAATAAGCACAATACATCGTTGAAGGAAGGCAAGTTCTTACAAAACTGAAATGGTTTCTTGGGAGCTTTTTCCAGAAGACCGTCTGTCTCAGTTGCTTTTGCAGAAGTGCGATCCTTCACCAAAGACTCTGGGAGGAATGTCTTCATGTATATCAGAGCTAATACCGCCATTAAAGCAGCGATCTTTACATAAATAAATACATAAATTAATATTAAAAAAAGAATTATTTCACTTTGAACGCAGAGAGAGAGAGAGAGAACTGACTTGGAAGGTAGAGGCTGTAGAGAGAAAGCGAGCAGAGAGATTTCCGCAGACAAAAGCAGTGGAAACAATGCCGGACATCACTCCGAAGGCGGAGCCCCGCCGGCACTCCGGAACATTGTCCGCCTAAAAAACAGGTTTTCCAAACTCGATCAGATCATCATCTCCGCTAGACATTCCATTACATGTTAGACTCTTGGTTTGATAATTAGAGCCGTTAAAATGGGCTTTGTTCGCCGAACCAACCCATTCGCTCCCTACTTTTAAGTAAAAGTGGGTTTCGAAAATAGGAACTCACCAAGGAGCTAGCTTTTTGGCCCACTTCGCTTTGGCTTGTTCTATCCCGTCAGTCCATATTGACAACTTTATCAATAAGCATAGGATTACAAACAATCGTTATACCGTGCACAAGGGCACACATATGTGCGCCCCGCGCCTCCCAAAACGACGTCTTTTTGTATTTTGTTATAAAATTATGTGTTTTCAGGTATAAAATTTTGTACATTCGAAACAAGGGATTTTTATCCTTTTAAAAAAGATTATGTGTTTTTAGGTATAAAATTCTGTGTTTTCTATTATATAATTCTGTACATTCGAAACATGGAGATTTTCAGTTATAAAATTCTGTGTTTTCAGGTATAAAATTCTGTGTTTTCTATTATATAATTGTGTATATTCGAAACATGGGATTTCAGTTATAAAAATTCTATTTTTTCAGGCATAAAATTCTGTATTTTTAGGTATGAAATTATGTGTTTTCTATTATACAATTCTGTACATTCGAAACATGAATTTTTTTAAAGGGTTAACAGTAGACACGCGAAAAAGGTACAAAACAACATCGTTTTGGGCCAAGGCGCACAATACATTGTGCACCCTGGTGCACGGTATAATTTGCCAGATTACAAATTTGATGAAGTTGAAGTAGTAGCCAGCAGCTTATTGGTCTTTTTTATTTGAACCAATCAACTATTGACAACCTATGTTAATTTATGTTTTTTCTGATTATTTTTTGTTGATTGGAATTAAAATACGAACTTTATTCAGTTCATATCCTCATATTGTGACAATAAGTTTCCGAGGATGAAAGTAGTTGTTACATACATACCACATAAGCAAGAGCTATACACTGAACGCTTCCGTCACAGACCATGGCAATGAGGGTTCTTAATATGTAGTAAGCATAGAAGTAGTACTTCGATCTGCTGTACGCCAATATCACTGTTCACACCAATATTCACTATTTAATATCACATTAATTAAAAAAAAAATAAAGAATTTTTATTTTTATTGACTACTAAAATATTAGTAAATTCCACAAGGAATAATAAATATTATATAATAATCTTTTGTAAGAGATGTAATGTAACTTTTTAAAAAAATGATGACAGGGACAATGTAATCTTTATTTAATTGTGAAAAAGAAAAGAAACATCCAAAGAGAAGGTAGAGTGGAGGCAAAGAAAGGAAATGTCTAAAGAAAGCAACATTCCATCTTCTTTAGCGCCCAGAATAAAGATTCCTAAGCAACATTCCATCCAAATATAAATAAATCTATCTGCTCCTGTGACATTCCTTATTTCTCCTAAGTTACTTCATCCAAAAGAAAACCCAAACTTTTGTAGTTTTGTGATGCAAATATGGACACCAATACCAATATGTAGTAACCTAGCTTTATGTGACATTTTAACTAAGTATTTCTTCCATCATTGACACATCATATTTATCATTTCTAATAACTTGTATTTTCATTTGATATCGTAACTTCTTAATACCCTAATCTGTTATACAGTTATATCAGTGAACAAATTATATTTAAAAAAAAAAAATAGTTCAAACAGGTAACTCAATTGGTTTTTGAGTAGTAAGGATTGTAAGTAATAAAACATGATTGAGCCCTGACAATCGCAGATCAAACACTAATCTTTTAAAACCTAATGATTCACTAAGCCACTCTGATTTACCCGCAAAGTGAGGATTTCGCCTTTTGTGGGCAAGACTATAAAATATTAGGAATAAAATAAAATAGTTTTGTAAAATGTTGAGATATGGCCCTGTTTGGTAACATAGTTAGCTTATCAACCAATTTTGGTTTGTTTGACTATTATTAGCTGTTTGACTTAGTTAAACCGTCAATTTAATGTTTGATTAATTAGCTTTTTGTAACAGCTTATTGCTCCAAAAACGCTAAAATTCAAAAAGATGCTCAAAGTAGCTTTTTCGATCATCTTTTTTTAGAAAGTCATTTTGCATATAATCAGCTATCAGTTAACAACTAATTTACCAAACATCTTTCTACAATCAGCTAATGCTATCAATTAGTCAATCCCACACTAACCCAATCAACTAACGGCTATCCACTAACAACTATTCACCAAACACCTCATTATCTTCTTTTTATGAAATATTAAAACCTAATATAATGTGCACTTTCGTTGATTTTGATGTGAAAATTATATTCCTTGAAGGAGGAGGTAAAGTGAAAAAAAGAAAAGAAAAGAAAGAAAGAAAGTGAAAAGGTTAATGATATGATGGAGATTGAAGCTAAGATTAAGGAAGATACATACCAAGCGGGAATATAGAGAGTGCCATGGGTATAGTCAACATGCTTTTCCTCCCATACGTGTCGGACAGATTCCCTACCAACGGCATCACCACCAGCGATCCCAATCCTATTATCTGCACAACCCCCATACAAAAATAATTATAATTAATAGAAATAATTATATAATTCATTACCAAACAAAAATAATTATAATATATAATTACGGAGTATTATTATTATTATTATTGCAACTAATTAATACATTAGCTCATTTTCTGTTTCAATTAAAGCAATATTGTTTGTCAACTTATATATGATTTTTAGATTATATTATATATTATATCACGTTAATAATAAAGTAAAATTAAATTAAAATGACAAAAAAAAAAATATTTATTCCAGAATTGAGTATAATATAGGTAAACTTGAATTCAAGATTCCACTAGACTCTCTGAGTGTGTTTTGAGGATACGTGTAGAATTCAACAAGACTTTTAATTTGTTCTTTAATTGCCTAATGGGTCCCAATAGTGGACTACGGCCTTTACGTTTCCTTAGATTCGATTATTGATCCAATTTACAATAAACTTCATGTATTTAGTCTAAAAACGTAAGTTAAAAACAATTAAATTTAAATATTTTAAGGAATTAATAAAGAATAAATTAAACAGAAATAGTACTACACAAATACTTGTACTCACCAAATTCAGTCGCAAGTAGCTTATCAATAATATTCGAATTCTTATATATATACTATAGTACCATACGAACATTACTTTTTCATTTTTGGTACTAAGTGAGTATTAAACACAACTAACTATTAGATAGTGATGAAAATTGAAAAACACTCATTAATGGAGTCCTTTTTAAATATTAATTTATTTCGATTCCATGCACGGCACAATATAAATACACACAAATTAAATATATATAGAAAATATTTTTTGAAAATTTGACAGGCCCGAACTACCCTTACCTATACCCACAACTGCCCTTGGACTATCCAAAGTTATAAAAGGCAATTGCAAATTAAATATTTGCCACGTGATAAAGGGTATCAAACGATCATAAGATAAATAATTTTTTTTTTTTATAAAAGCATAGAAATTAACTAAAAACAAATACCTAGTATAGAAATTGATGGTGATATGACGATGAAAAGGAAAAGGTGGTAAAAGTCGGTTAATTACAATGTACTTTTAATAGAGGAAATTTCGTGATGGCGCATTATAGCATGGGAACGGAAACTTCCCCGACAAGGACAAAGGAGTGTTTGAAGGAACATGCTAAAGCATACGGTTGGAATTGAGCACCGCACCCCCCCCCCCCCCCCCCCCGCAGGTATATATTTATCCTTAAACTAATAATGTTTTCACAGAATTTTTTATAATAATTATAATATATATCATATTCCACCTTGAAATAACAGTAGCCGTCTGTCCCAAATTGTTGAGGTATATTTATAACAAAATTTAATTATAAATATAATATATATACGTAAACATCAATAAACATACATACATAGACAAAAGGTTAGCATCCTAGGTTAGTTCACCCTTGCATAGGTAATAATGTTTAGATGTATGTGTGTGCTAGTGCGTGTATTAATAATTATACTTTGAATATTATAGGGGAAATACATGAGAATATATATATTCATTTAAAAGTATAAGTATTCACTAGGACCAAAAGATGGCCATTTGACATCCACTATACTAACACATATAATGCCCACCTTTGAAATACTTGACATGATTGATTAGATATAGTGTATCACTCGAATATACTCATGTTTTTAAGTGGGAAATAATTTCTTTGAACAATAAATCCACATTAATATAACGGTTTGCTTTATGCATAAATATTGAAAATTATATACATATATACTTATCAAGAGTTTAACGCAAATTCGATATGCATTTAGACACACGTAAAATTATGCAGACTTTTTTAAACATAAAACATTAGGTTATATATAAACATTATGGGATATAAGAAAAACATCTTTAAATTACATGTAGGTAGTGTAAATGGTATTTTGCCGAAAATGACAAGTAATCATTTTCTTAGGCAGGAATGAAGTTTTGAAGTTTATATATATGAAAAAGGATGGGTTTCGTTCTCATTCAATTCTTTAACTGTTTAATGATGAACAGTGCACATGGTATATATGGGTATGATAGTAGCTAAGTTTTAGAGTGCAGGTTTTTAATTCAGATGAAGTATAAAGACCATATAGCAGACCATTTTGGAAAAAAATTAGCAGAATAGTGCGCCAGCACAGATAGTTCAGTTTGTTTTTGAGTGATAGATAGTGAGTAAAAACGCAAAATTGAGCGATAGTTCGATCAGTTTGTTTCCTGGGTGATAGATAGTGGGTAAAGACGCAAAATTGAGCGATAGTTCAGTTTGTTTCTAGGTGATAGATAGTGGGTAAAGACGCAAAATTGAGGGATAGTTCAGTTTGTTTCTGGGTGATAGATAGTGGGTAAAGACGCAAAATTGAGAGATAGTTCAGTTTATTTCTGGGTGATAGATAGTGGGTAAAGACGCAAAATCTAGCCTTGATGGTCACAGTTTGGTGGACAAGAGTAAAGAAAGTAGTAGTACGTACCGCTTGTTGAATCCCGGTGAGGTAGATAGCGAGCGAGCATTCATCTTGTCCAGGGCAAACCGCCGCCAGGGTAATGTCAGTGATCGCCGGAATCACCATGAAAGCCGAGAAGCAGCTGAGGAACGCCGTCATGAAGAGGTGGCTCAGCCCTGCCGGAACCTTTTCCATTACTATCACTTCTCTCTCTCTCTACCTCTGAGCTAAGTGACTTCAAAGCCAAGAAAGCTCTAGGCAACCAAATACGGTCCTGAAAGAGCTAGAAGTGTACAGCATAGAATAGAATATTAAAAACACCAAAAAGGACAGCAAGAATTAATAGATTATAAAGAGGGTTCAACGAACAAAAGTGAGAGATAGATAATTGCTTTATTCTGAGTGTACAAAAGTTTAGGTGCGATGGGCACATTATATACAAGGAGGGAATTGATGAAGCTAAGGGTTACACAAGTCAAAAGAGTAGCGAAAGTGCGACGTTGAAAGGATGCGTAGCTTGCAAGTTCCTCATCATGCAGACCATACCCCTCCTTGCTTTGTGTAAATTGTCAGGAGATAATCAAAACAAAACAAAACAAAAGTATATATAAATATGTTTAATTAATTATTAAATCATCATAGGTGTTGATTTTATCGCCACGGGATAGCCAGATTGCAGGCCAACACAACCGTAAAACAAAAAAGGAAAAAATATGAGAGAAAGTTGAGAGAGTAATTGCAAGAGAATGGAATTCAAAACCAGTTTCAAACAAGATTTATGTACTTTAGAAAGGAAAGAAAGAAGAAATTAACAGATTCAAACATAGAAAAGCTTTCAAACCACCATGCTTCTTTCATAATATTGAAAAGGAAATCCTACTCAGAATCTGGAGGAAAACCTCCTTTAACGGCCTCCCACCGGGCCTCGGCATGAGACCAGGCTACTAGATTCCTCCCATTTTCTGGGTAATATTGTCAAATTGTGAGTCCCAACTACTGAAGTGTACTCTTAACTAGGTAACTTATTCACGGTATCAATCAATATTTTTCATTTTACAATGCGTATAATGTAGGATTACGCTTTGAGGCGTACAAGCCTGAGCCAAACACACCTCTCAAGCGTCATATTAACATTTGCATGCTACTTGTTGGCCCCCACCACTCTTTTTCTTTACACTACTGATACTATTATTGTACAATGTTGATGTCATATATAGTACATTATATTGATGCTATAGTATGCTGAGAATCATATGGGATCGTGTATATTCCTAGCATCCTCTCATCACCGGTGGAATGGGATTAGGGGAGAAAAAAATACCACAAGAAGAAAAGCTAGCTACTCACACGCATCTAGGTCTATCTTGACTCAATGGTTATTAGTTTTCATATGTTGTATAAATGTTGTATTTTGGGGCTAAGAGTGATAGCCTGGTTAGCTGATTTTCTTCATTGCAGCCCTTTGTCGACTAGGGTCACAAGGTGAGGTTTATCCTGTGCACACCTTCGAATAGTGGTTCAAAAAATGAACATGTATTACAACAAAAATAAACTTTCAGTATATTAAAAATAAACATTCTATTAGTGGTATATCTTGCAATGTGGACTGATCCACCATATAATAATTGATACTTAATTGCTTGTTTAAGCTAGGTGTACTACTAAAGAATATTAATAAACGCAGGAATATATTTCAATTGTCGAACCGAGTGTATAATATGGGCTTTTCTTTATTTATTGAGTAGTATTTTATATGGGTGATATACAAAAATATATGTTTAATATTAAAATATTTTTTTAAAATAATAGTATGTTTTTATTAATTTATAGTTGTGGGAATTGAACCTTGAACTCAAGTTATTCTTAAATTCTCTCTAACAAAAAGAGTTCATTTGTCACTTGAACTATCGCCCAGATTGTAATTAATAAATTGATTATTAATGTTTGCACTATGGAGTTTAATTACTTCAAATATTATATTCTCAAGATCGAGGAAAAAGTAAAATAAGAACGTGTAATACAATTTTTAAATTTGTATATGGTATCAAAGGTGAACACATGTAATACATACTACAAGTGTTTATGAATGTTGTGCACACCATATATAGGAGTTTCGTAGACTGAAATTTGTATGCTATTTCATTAAATTAGAGATCTAACTTCTACAGGATAGAAGGTAGTATACACGGACTGGAGTATATTTTTTTTGACATTACAATCTCAATTTGAATATTAATCCATAAATCAAGAATTACATGGACACGCACAAATCTAGTAAGAGACCAATTTTTATTTTTATTTTGGAATAACTCGAATCAAGTTGGCCGGACAGTTAGTTTGTTAACAACAAAGTTTTAAATTTGACTCTTTGTAGGAATGGACTATTGACCTTTATTGATTTTAGCTGGTTAACTATGATCAACTTTTGAGTAACCGTTGCATGTTTTCTTGTAAATAAAAAATTAAAGGAAGAATATCTTATTAAGCCATTCAAGCAACACGTACATTATTACCAAACTAAAATTCTTAGTACCAAATTAAACAAATTAAATTCGAGCATGTAAATTTGTATAAGTTGTGTAGTCCACAAAATATGTATCACTTTTTATTTTTAACAATCCACAATTTATACTCCTTAATTGATATTATATAATTTTCTTCTGAATTATTATTTATTTGGAAAAGTGATAATTTTCGTTCTTAAGTTATTACTCCCTTGGTAATTTGATAGTTAAATTTTGTAGCTATTTGCTTTTATGAAGTTACATATTTAGTCCCTCACAACATATTATGTCTGTTCTTGATGGGAAATTTCGAAAAACTCTTATTTTGCAAGGTTAATTTGGTCATTCAAACATCAATCTTCCTTCTACATATCTCCTTACTCAATTATTCATGCCATTTTCAACTCAAATGACCTCAGATCTTGAACAAATTTGGTACATTTTTATTAGATAATACAAGACAGCTTTGAGCAGTACTCCTTGAGCTACAAAATGACATGAGTTGACTGTTGAGTATTGGATATATAGGAGGAAAATTGAGACTTAAGTAACACAATTAACTTTGCACAATTACGGGGTGCTTGGTTTCAAGGAGGGAATTAGGAGGATCGGAGGAATAATGTGGGATCGGAATTTAAATTCCAGTGTTTAGTTTGTAGGAATAAAATTACTGTGAATTTCAATTTCAGTGTTTGGTAAGCTATGAGAATTGGAAGGGAATAATTGCCTTTGGAATTATGGGAAAATTAGGTGGACGTCGCCAGAATTCTAAGGGTGTGTTTGGTTCATGGGTTTTACACACCAGGAATGAGAATCAAAATCATAGTTATTGTTTGGTTGACAACTTTTTAAAACACAATTATGAGATTTGATTATCTCATTCAAATAAAAATCTCATTCTCTAATTTAAAAGGGGTATCGATCATGCCATCTTATCCCTCATCACTTGTCACCTCCTGATTTATCGCCTCCTCACTAATCCCTCAGATTTTTGTTTTGATTTTTGTTCATATTGGTGCTTTGGAGGTCATTATATCAATTGTCTTGATTTTTTTTTTTTTTGTATTTTTAAAATCTTTATTCTCATTATAGGGTCATACGTACATAACCAAACATTAATATTGGTAATCATTCCAATTCCACTCTACTATCAAATATGCAAACACCAAAACCCATTATCATTACCAAGAATTTGATTCGATTCCGATTTTCATGTACGAACCAAATGCACCCTAAGAGCAACTCCAATCAACACGCTATATCACCAAAACGAGGAAAAAAATGGTGTGGAACCCTCCAATGAATACGGAAAATCACTATATTTTTGGCGCACCGTGAACAATGCAACACCATATTTGGCGATGCACTGTTCATCCGCACCAAATCTGATTTGCTTTTATGTCATCGGTTTAGTTTTAATGTATTTGTATATTTTTTAAATTGTTAATTAACATAAATTGTATATTATTAAAAAAAAATTATTATCATTTGAAAGATCCAAGATGATTAAAATAAGACTAATATTGAATATAATTTAATTAAAAATAAAATTATATAAAACATTTAAAGGTTAATTTATTAAATTAAAAGTATATGTTATATTAAAATAATAAAGTATAAATATAAACTTCTAATTTATGAGAATATAAATTATTTTAGTGTAGGAATAAAATTTGGTATAATGTGTTGGAGATGAAAAAAAATTAGTATGTATAAGAAAATGTTGAAAATATTTTTTTAATGTAAAATTTAGTGCAAAATTTGGTGCACGAATGGTCTAATTCCTTCCAAACGAATTATTAAGATTTTCAAAATGTCTTATTACGAACTAACAAAATGGGTCTAAGGGATTGGACATGCCACTTTGAAATAAATTAAGAGATGAATTCACACATCAAATTACTAACAGGGCGTTTGATTGGAGGGAATTTAAATGTCATTCCCTCTTAATTTCCATCTAATTCAAAAGCCACTAAATTCCTTAGTTTGATTGGAAGGAATTGCAATTCCCTCATCTATATATATAAAAGTAAAATCCTCCTATTTCATTTTCCCGCCCAAACTTTTGTAGTAAAACTTATTTGGTAACTAAATGTAAAATATAAATTAATTAAAATCTATTAATTGATAATATTGTTTCCATATTCACATATTAACCTAATTGGTAAATCTATTAATTGGTAATATTTTTTCCTTATATTTATCTATTCATTCTTTTATATTGAGTAAGTATATATAGAGATATAGATATGTATACTAACATACAACTATTACGGCTCCAATGTTTATTCTTGCCCAGGATATTTCTCCATTGAAGACTTGCAGAGCTATTAGACTGCAATTGGTGCGCACCTATATGAAGTCCCATAGAGAAAGGGGAGTGAATCCATAAAATCTAGAGAGTGCATGCTTTACGATCAAGAGGTATTTTTTTTTCAATTTTGCTTTTTTTTTTATACGACTCCAATGTTTATTCTTGCCTGGGATATTTCTCCATTGAAGACTTTCAAAGCTATTAGATGGTGATTGGTGTGCACCTATATGAAGTCCCATAGAGAAAGGGAGTGATTTCATAAAATCTAGAGAGTGCATATTTCCCGATCAAATGGTATTTTTTTCGATTTTGCTTTTTTCTATAACTCGTGTTGTATATGAAATTGGGAAAAAGATGCATTACAAAACTGCTTCCTATACTGCAAAAATCTATATTATATATATATATATATATATATATATATATATATATATATATATATATATATATATATATATATATATATATATATATATATATATATATATATATATATATATATATATATATATATATATAAAAGTAAAATCCTCCTATTTCATTTTCCCGCCCAAACGTTTGTAGTAAAACTTATTTGGTAACTAAATGTAAAATATAAATTAATTAAAATCTATTAATTGATAATATTGTTTCCATATTCACATATTAACCTAATTGGTAAATCTATTAATTGATAATATTTTTTCCTTATATTTATTTATTCATTCTTTTATATTGAGTAAGTATATATAGAGATATAGATATGTATACTAACATACAACTATTACGGCTTCAATGTTTATTCTTGTCCAGGATATTTCTCCATTGAAGACTTGCAGAGCTATTAGACTGCAATTGGTGCGCACCTATATGAAGTCCCATAGAGAAAGGGGAGTGAATCCATAAAATCTAGAGAGTGCATGCTTCACGATCAAGAGGTAATTTTTTTTTCAATTTTGTTTTTTTTTTTATACGACTCCAATGTTTATTCTTGCCTGAGATATTTCTCCAATGAAGACTTTCAAAGCTATTAGATGGTGATTGATGTGCACCTATATGAAGTCCCATAGATAAAGGGAGTGATTCCATAAAATCTAGAGAGTGCATATTTCCCGATCAAATGGTATTTTTTTCGATTTTGCCTTTTTCTATAACTCGTGTTGTATATGAAATTGGGAAAAAGATGCATTACAAAGCTGCTTCCTATATTGCAAAAATAAATTGGAAAATAACACTTTTCCTTTTTACTTCATTGTAGGAAACTTCATGCTCATATACCAAGGGAGCATGTTGGTAAGTACTGTAAGCTTTTCAAACAATGAAAAGTTTATGCCATTAAAAATTTTATGGTGATAAATAATTTCTATATTTTCAAAAAATGCACTCATTATTTTATGTTGTATTTCCACTATGGTACTTTGGTTAAAGAATATAAAAAAAGACAAATTTTCTAGACAAATTTATGTATTGAAATCATTTTCATCTTTTAAGTCTGTAGATGATAAACAATTCGTTGGTAAGTTTCATTTACAATTTTAATCTACATCTGAATTCTTTTTTTTTTTATTATTATTATTAACATGTTTGACGTTATTGGTAGGGTCGTTGGAATTGAGATATACTCCCCATTGGATAAGATCATTGCAGGGAACTTAACTTATGGATTTTCTAATTGTACATGGATACAAAGTAAATTATCTATTTTTTTTATTTTTATTGTATTTTTGTATATGTATTTTTTATTAAGAACTCCGTAGTTTATTTGTTTATAGGGACAATCAATTGAAAGCTACAGTGTGGGATCAACATATACCAAGGCCAAGAGTTGAAACCTTTTTTTTTTTTTTTTTTTTTTTTTAATTCTGGCCTTGCAAATCCTATGGTTGTTCTTATGCAATTGTGCAGAGTTAAAATGATACGAAGAGTTAATCTAAACACAAGTATTTTAATTTTTCTTTATATTTGAAAGTGTTTGAATAAGGACAAGTAATAAATGTTCTTTTTGATTAGCCATTTCAAGATATGTAACTCTTGATACACAGCTCCTTTTCAATCAGGATTTCTCGAGTTTTGTGATTTTTTGAAAAGCTAAATTTATTATGTCTTAATCATTATCATAATGTTTTTATATCATTTATTTTTGTACATATTTTGTTTATGTTTATGATTGTCATTTTTTTTTTCAGTTTATGTGTTGATTAGATCCCTCTAATAAAAATTATGGATATTTATGAGATGATTGAGGTAAACAATAGCAATAAATTTTTTTTTTTTTAAATTGATGCAGTGGCATCAAATTAGAAAATCATCTTTTGCCACTTTTTAAAATGATTTATTATTATAAATTGTCACACTTTAAAATGTATTTTTTTTTAATGTTAATAAATAAATTAGCTTAAAATAATACATTAAAATCTAAAGGATAAGCAAAGTATAATTTAAAGTATAAAATAAAGCCAAAGTTGTACATGTTTGCAAAGTGATGGAGCATTGTAATAGTCTTAGTGCATCCAAATAAAGGCATCATTTAACAGATTATTTCTTTCTTATCTCATATATATGTTACAACCTCACGGTCAAATCTATATTATAATTAAAAACAAAATACTATTTTACTTGATTTCCTGTCCAAACAATAGTAAATAGTAAAGGTAAATTTAAAAAAAAATGAAAAAAAAAAGAACATAAATGTTTCACAATAATATTCTACATCATCAATTAAAAATGGAATGGAAATTAGGTAAATTGGAAAAAGAAATGAATATTAATAATTTACTGAAAATTAAAAATGAAAAAAAGGAATTGAAGTTATGTTAATTGGAAAAGGAAATGAATATTAATAATTGACTGAAAATAAAAATAATCCATAATTGACTAAAATGAAAAAAGAAATGGTCAGATCATTGCATTTAAATTTTTCACAATAATATTATACAGTATAATACATCAAATCACAATTATGTCATAAATCTTTCACAATTTTAAACAATGAAATGAAAATTAAAAAAAGAACGAAAATATTTTAATAATAATATTCTACATCATCAAGTAAAAGTAAATTAAAAATAAAAGGAAATATTTACATAATAATATTCTACATCATCAATAGTAAATGCATATTTTAAACAATAGTAAAGGTAAATTAAAAATGAAACAAAAATTAAAAATGAAACCGGAATATTTCAATAATAATATTCTACATCATCAATTAAAAATGGAACGAAAATTAGGTAAAAATATCACTGCATCTGATATTCTAATTGACTAATTGAATGAAAATAAAATAAAATAAAAAGAATAATTGGCTGAAAATGAATATGGCATTACAAATTGACTGAAAATATAAAAAGAAATGAATATTAATAGTTGACTACAAATAAAAAATGATCCATAATTGATTAATATGAAAAAAAAAATAAAATGGTTTGATCATTACATTTTAATTAAAAATGGAATGGAACCTAAAATTTGACGGAAATATTTCAATAATATTTCTACATCATAAATAGTAAATGCATATTTTAAACAATATTAAAGATAAATCAAAAATGGAACGTAAATATTTCAATAATAATATTATACATCATCAATTAAAAATTTAACGAAAATTAGGTAAAAATATCATTGCATATGATATTCTAATTGACTAATTGACTACAAATATAAAAGAATAATTTGCCGAAAATGAATTTGATACTACTAATTGACTTAAAATATAAAAGGATCGCTAATTGACTAATACTCTACCATTATATATTTTCACCCGAGTCACCTATCCAGATGGACTGAAGGTGTTAGCTCTATACGATGATGGACAGGATTGCGTTGCTACAACCAATGTCATCTACAAACAGGTTTCAATAATGTGTAAATACAATCGTTGATATTATGTTTTTTTAAATGACAAAATTGCTATATATATATATATATATATATATATATATATATATATATATATATATATATATATATATATATATATTCCATACAAATGAATTAAGATGGCAATTCATTCCTATAACTGAGTTGCTAGAGAACGAACATATTTGCTTAATTTATAAAAAAAAAATACTAAACAATGATAAATAAAATCTTCAAAGTTACAGCATCGCATGCGTACATCTACACATTAACTATTAATTTGAGTAATTATTTGCTTAAATTCAAACAATGATAACATCAAAACACATAAATAATCCAAAACATATCTTCAATTGCAATGTATAATATTTGATGTTCTAATTTAAATAATTATATATCAATCTAAATATTTTTAATATATTATAACAAATCCACCCCGTGCATCGCACGGGCGAAAATACTAGTTTTCATAGAATTAAAATCTCATATCCTCCTTTGTGATTTTAATTCCTTGGATTTTAGGAAGAAAAAGGATAATAATGAGACAAAATTGTCCTCCTCTTTTTTAACTTAAAATTGATGTCTAACAATAATAATGGGTATTTTGGACTTTATACTATTTATTCCCTTTCAATTTCCATGTATACCAAACATTGGAATTGAAATTCCCAGTAATTTTGTTCTTGTAAATCGAACACTGAAATTTAAATTTTCAATAATTCATCTCACATAAAATTACAAGAATGAGAATTACAATTCCTTTCTCACGTAATTCCCTCCTTCCAACCAACTGCCCCGTAACGGTTAAGTCTACATTAGAAGTATAATAACTTAGGGATTAAGTGATTTTCCTTTTATTATGGGCTTCTTCATTTTTTTTTAAACACTACTAAGTACGAAAAAGTAATTTAGACATTTAAGTCGGTGCTTTTGGACGGTGGACCACCGAGGAGGATAGCTTCCTTAAAAGGTAAAAGTGAAAAGTAATTATGCCCTTTGGATGGAACCGATTCGAACTCATTAATTGAAATATTTAGGAAGAGGCAGTCGACTGAGTCTGATTTTTTCTTTGATTTTGAAGTTGATTGTGATTCAAGACTATGCAGTTTTTTTTGGAGGGATGGTCGGATGAGACAAGACTATGAGTTGTTTGGGGATTTATTAGTGCACGATACAACTTATCGCACTAATAAATATGATATGATTTGTGGCCCTTTTGTAGGGATGAACCACCATTGCATGAATGTAATGTTTGGATGTGGTTTTCTGATGAATGAGAGGATAGAATCATTTGTGTGGCTGTTTAGAGCATTTTTAAGGTCTATGAATGGGAAATGTCCACAGACTATCATGACAGATCAATGTGCATCCATGGCTGCTGCTATTTGTCAGGTGTTTCCAACATCACGTCACCGTCTTTGCATATGGCATATTGGCGAGAATTCGAAGAAGCATATCAAGGCGTTAAGGAATAACAAGGATTTCTTAGATATGTTTAACTGTGTGTTGAAATACACAGAGACTGAAGCTGAGTTTGAATTTTATTGGACAAGGTATGTCCACTACTTTTTTTTTTTTCCTTTTTCGATTCCAGTAATTGAATTATGGATGTTTAGTATTATAATTATGGTCATTTAGTATTAGAATTATGAATATATAGTATTAGAATTATGTGAACATGTTGTAGTATAGAATGGAACTTCTTGATTGTTCCTGAGTTACATGCATTTAATTTATGGATTTATAGTTTTGGAATTGTGAATATACAGTGTTAGAATTATGGACATATAGTATTAGTTGTCTGAACATGTATTAGTGAAGCAGTGAGCTTCCTGTTTGTCTCTAAATTATATGCATGCAATTTATGGATTTATAGTATTGGAATTGTGGATATATAATATTACAATTATGGATATATAGTATTAGTTGTCTGAACATGTAGTAGTGAAGCAGTGAGCTTTCTGTTTGTATTATATGCATTCAATTTGTGGTTTTATTATATTGGAACTGTGGATATATAGCATTAGAGTTCTGAACATATGTCTTATCATTTCAGGTTGGTGACTGACTACAAGTGCCACAAGAATAGTTGGATACAAAAGCTGTATAACTGTAGGGAGAAGTGGTGTCCAGCATTCAATAAGGACTATTTTTCAGGGGGCATTTTATCATCGCAAAGGAGTGAAACTACTAACCATTCGATTTCAAGAAGGCTGTCCAAGACTGCAGGTCTATGTGATTTTTATTCATCGTTTGTTAGTGTAACTTCTGAATGGAGGAGCAAAGAGAATGGTGAAGACTTTCGTTGTACTCAAGGGGTACCCAACATGATGATGGAGCACGTGAAACTTCTGTTACACGCTAGAGAGGTATATACGATTGAGATATATTTTTTGTTTGAGGAACAATTCATGAAAGGCAATGCCTGTCATCAAGAAATGGTGTTGAATGAAGGTTGTCAGTTCAAGTATCACGTATGGCGTCCAGATATAGATATTATAAGGCATGAAGTCAGTTTTAAGTTGTCAACCTTAGACATTTCGTGTAGTTGCAAGTTGATTTCGGAGTTAGGAATTTTATGCTGCCATTGTTTACGCATTCTTCATATACACTGTGTTTCAAGTATTCCTAACAAATATATCATGAAAAGGTGGACTAAAAAGGTTGCTGATGGTAGGGATGTGAATACTGGTTCAATGTTTTGTAGAGCTGGTGTCCCTCCTTCAATTTGGGTTGTGGAGATTTGCAGAAAGTTTCAAAGACTGATTTCATCTAGTCAAGATAACAGTGTAACTAGGCAGTTCTGTGATGAAGCAGTTGAGGAAGCAAAGAAAAAGGTTGAAGCTGAGATTGGCTATGTGCAAATTGAAGAGTGCGGTGTTTCATCTTCAAGTGGTGTCATTCAAAATCCTTCAAACCGGAGATCAAAAGGTGAGCGTAACGTAAGGAGGAGTAGTGTTATTGAAAAGAAGTACAGTGCCGCAAGGGGGAGGAGGAGTGCTGCAAATAAAGTTGCTTCGAGTACAAAGGGTGCTGTTCAGTCGTTGGTTTTGGAAAGTTTATCTAAGATTGCCGGGGATGGGTACCTTGTACATCCAAGTTCTGGGAGTTCGGAGTTTTGTCAGTATAGTAATGATGTAGATGATAATGCAGTTGTAGATTGAGAGTGGGGTTAATACCAGTTGGTAGCTAGCTGTTTTAAGGATATCAATTTACAAGTTTTTTGATCTGTGTATTCAAAATTTTAGTACTTGTTGATTTGCAGGTTTGAAGCTATATATCCATAATATTAAAGCTACATATCCATAATACTAAAGCTATATATCCATAATATTAGAGCTATACATACATATTCTGAGAACTATATGACCACAAAATATTGGAATTGTGTGTCAAATTAGTAAAAGTGTTCATAATGTTATATCATTATATCCACAATATTAAAGCTATATATCAATATGTAAACTGGTGAACTTGATGTTTACACTTATGTAAAATGTAAGTTCACAGCTGAACGAATATTCATAACTTTATATCAATATGTCCACAATCTTAAACCTATATGTCCATAATTCTGAGAACTATATGACCACAAAATATTGGAATTGTGTGTCAAATTAGTAAAAGTGTTCATAATGTTATATCATTATATCCACAATATTGAAGCTATATATCAATATGTAAACTGGTGAACTTGATCACTTATGTAAAATGTAAGTTCACAGTTGAACGAATATTCATAACTTTATATCAATATGTCCACAATCTTAAACCTATATGTCCATAATTCTTGAAATATGAATATATGAATATTTGAACGGTATGTTTATACTTATGTAAGATGTTCATAATTTTATATCCATACATCCACAATCTTAAACCTACATGTCCATAATATGAGAACTATATATTCAGTGAATTTCATAGATCGAATTTCAAAAATTGTGATAGAGTTGTTACAAAACGACCATAAGAACAGAAAATATTAAAATATTCATCCACAAAAACATTCATTGATCTTTCCAGTTTTACTTCTTCTTGTCTTCAATCTTTGCAGCTTTCATGACCTCGCCTTTGACGCTGTTCAGCTTTGACGTGATGATACAAGCAGCATACTTTGCCCTCAACTCAAAAATGAAGCTAGCCTGTAAAATAAGAAAAATAAATAACTAGTTCATTGTAATTTTTTCATCACTTTTTGATGTAGTTGGAATGTAATATATTTATGTTACTCTTACATTCGTGCGCATATGTTTCTTGAACCCAAGATCCCAGTTCTCGAGAGCTCCACCCATGTAAGTCTCCATATGTCGCATTACATATATGCCACAGTCGGTGACATTCTCTGCATTTTTCCAGTGCATGGCAAGGAACTCTACTGGCATGCTGTTCAGTTTGTGAGTCAAGGTGGATTGTCCTGCTGCCAGGTACGCCTTGAATGCTTCAATCTGGTAAAAAATTAGCTCAATGTTCATAATGTTTTAAATTCAATATATAGGTGACAATAAGGAGATTTTTTAATATAATATAAGCTACCAGTTTGTATGGACAGTCCCCATATTTATCAAGCTCTGAAACACCAGCAGGCAATTCCTTGTTGTCTATCACCTGAACCTTGGATTCCTTGACATTTATGCACACAACAAAGTAGTGTGCATGGCGATGCACTGGGAAGAATATCTAATTCCAAAACAAAAGGTTATTATTTGAAACAACTACATACCCAGGTACTGTTAACTGCATGGGTATACATTCATATTTGACAGAGTACTATATATCCATAATTATAAAACTATATATCCACAATCTTAAAACTATATATCCACAAAATTCAGAAATTTATAAAGATCCTAATAAGCCGAGTATATTCCAAGCTTCAAGCATATAAATCCACAAATTAATAACTATACATCCAAAAACTACATTACCATATATCCAGAATTCTTAACAGTCTGTTCACAGAGTAATACATTCATATATTAACAGAGTACTACATATCCATAATCACATAACTATATATCCACAATTTTAAGACTATATATCCACAAATTCAGAACTTTATAAAGGATCTTATTAAACTTTGTATATTCCAAGCTTCATGCATATATATCAATAATAAAATCTTAAATTATTAAATTAAGTGTGTGTAATAGATCTTACAAGGTCTGCATCACTGATTTCCAGGTTTCCAAAACTTGATATTTCATAATTCAATCTATCATTGAAATTTTCCATCCTTTTCTCAGCTGGGAGACTTTTCATCCAATCATCAGATGGATCAAGCTGCAGCTGTTTTTGAATACACAGAAATGCAAAAAATGAGTATTCAAAAGGCTTAGAGTACTAGATTTTTAAAAATGCGCATCTGCATGTCAAAAATAACTCTTACATGTGGCAGTGTGGTGAAGAATACGCGTTTTGGTATCCCAACAGCACGTTCTGTGTTCTTCAAAGTTAGCCGCAAAGACCAAATATTCAAGAAGTCTATATCCAACTCGCCATTGCTCAAAGTTGAGAAGTGACGCCTTGTTAGGTAGTAGTCACCATAGCTGAACAGCAACTCACTACAGCACCAAAATAACAATAATAATAATAATAACACCAATAGTTATAATAATATGAACTATCTAAGTAATTTAAAGGTTATTATAAATATATGTGTTCAAACATACTCTTCTGGGTGTTCGGTAGACACACTCAAGAATGCATAGTTTGAAATGATTTTTTCCCGTGGAGTTGCAGTGCGTATAAAACCTGCATTCTGTGTCAAGTATGGTGACCTCAAACAAAGAGGTTTGTTCCTGAATCGTCGCTGGGGTCTCATCCTAACAGTCACGTCCTCAACATCAGACTCACTTTCTTGCATGGCACTGTTGTTTATATATCCACAGTATTAGAACTTTATATCCATAATATTAAACATATATGTACATAATCATAGAACTATATATTCACAGATTTAAAATGTTCATAATTATATATATATATATCCACAATTTTAAAGTTATATGTCCACAGTTGTAAAAATGTTCATAAGTTTATATTCATAATTTTAGCACTATAAATTCATAACGTTAAAGCCAAATGCAAATAACAAACTGTAAATTTACCAATCAAAGTCATCAACATCAGCATCAGTAGCAGCGGCATGACGAACATATCTCTGAAATGGGACCCTAACAAGTGGAGGAGTTACTTGTGCTCCCAAGGTCGTTGACAGTCCTGCATCCTCTCCAATTTGTTGAACCAAAGCATCCAATGGTAGGTCCTCTTCAACTACTTGCTCTGTGTGTTGCTCACATGGCTGCGGTTGCGATTCATTGCAGTGTATTCCCAAATCAAATGATGGAGCTTCAAATTCCATGGTTCTTGTTGTCTTCTGAAATGCTTCCACCAATGAATCCACTGCAGCGGTGAAGGTTTCACTCCCAAAGAATATGTCATCCAACTGAGATTCAGTTGGAATGGAAGTTGATTCAATTGCGCTTGCAGCACCTAGCATGTTTGATATCCCTGAGAACGCTTTCTTCATGACTTCAATAGGTGCGCCCTGCTTTCCAATTTCAGACATAGCTTCACCAAACTCCAGGACATCTGATGCTAGCTTTTGGAGCACACGGGTCACCCGATCAACACTTGAGAGTGGCTCACTTGTAGTTGGTGTCGGTGTTGCAGTAGCAGGAGTAGAAGAAGTAGTAGCAGCAGCAGTAAATGCAGGTTGTGGTAGTGAGGTTGTAGCAGCAGCAGTGCTTGCAGGTTGTTGCAGTGAGGTGGTAGCATCAGTCCTTGGCTTCTTAACTCTAGGGATAACCCTTCCTTTTCCAAATCCACCAGCCCTTTTTTCAGCCTTGACTCTCTTTCTTACAAGCGTGGTTGTCCAAGCAAGTATGCTAGGGTATGTCCTGTTGATCTTCATTCCTTTGAATTCTACTCGATCAAAGTAGAACAGCTACAAATTACAGAAGATTATGTTAAAGATGAATTTAGAACAATTTATCCATGTATTCTTAATTGCATGGTCACAGTGTAATGCATAACTATATGTCCATAATCACATAACTATATATCCATAACTTTAAAACTATATATCCACAAAATTCAGAAATAAAAAATGATATTAATAAAATGAGTATATTCCAAGTTTCATGCATATATGTCCATAAACCCATAAATATACATCCAAAAACACATTAATATATATCCAGAATTATTAGCAGTATGTCCACAGAGTAATACATACATATATTCACAGAGTACTACACATCCATAATCACATAACTATATATCCATAATTTTAAAATTATATATCCACAAATTAAACTGTATAAAGGACCTCATTAAACTGAGTGTATTCCAAGTGTCATGCATATATATCCATAAACCCATAACTATACATCCAAAAACACATTAATATATATCCAGAATTATTAACAGTATGTCCACAGAGTAATACATTCATATATTCACAGAGTACTATATATCCATAATCACATAACTATATATCCACAATTTTAAAACTATATATCCACAAATTAAACTACATAAAGGATCTTATTAAACTGAGTATATTCCAAGTTTCATGCATATATATCCATAATAAATTGTTAGTTATACACCTACAACTACATAAAATTCATGCAACTAGATTAAAGACAATAAGAACTGACCAATATCAATGTCATTGGCCCCCAAAAGCTTCTCTTTCTATCTTCATTGTAACTATCTATCGAGTCAATGAGAGATTGGTATGTGTAGGCGCACCAATTGTACTCTTTAATCATATCAACATCAATCAATGAGTTTAAGATCCTGTACTTGGAGTAGCGTGTTGTGTTTCCTCGAAGCATTGAGGAAACGGCAAAGACTACGAAATCCCTCTTGAACTCATCACCATGATAAGCTCTCCTAACAATCTCATCTGGCATCTGTGTAGTTATTGGCGAGCCTGCTGTAATACCCCACCTCCTTCTCCATGAAGTCAGCAGCAGTTTGTATTCACGGGTTGAGGTGTCTTCCATCTTTGTCCCCTCATTGACCTTCAGAGGCCCTCGCGGGATTCCCAACGTGTATTCGACATCTTCCTCTTCAATGTGGAGACTATCATCCTCTAATACAAAATCACACCTGCAAACATTAAAGTTGTCCAGCAGGTATTGCACCAACT